GAGTGCCTGAGCTGCCGGGACCACACGGCAGGGCACAACTGTGAGAGGTATGGTGCCTGCGCCCCCTCCTCGGCCCCTCTCCTTCCCCCAGCAGGATGGGCACAGCAGCCGTACCCCTCCGGCACTGGTGCTGGGGCGGGTGTGAATCCATGGGAGAAGTCCCTGGACCGCGGAAGCCAGAGCAGCGCTGATAGGAGCGGGGACACCTCTTCCCTCCCTGTGGCCTTCCACCCCCCAGCAGCGCCTGCCCAGACACCTGAGAGTGCATCGTGGGACCCCAGGGCTTCAGAGAGGCTTTCTCCATTGCAAACCTCCTGAGATGCATCTGCCTTGGATCTTCTGCTCTTACACTGGCATATGCCAGAGAAATTTGCCTCTGTGGGCACAGCTGCTTGGAGTGTGAGTGGCAAAAGAAAGCTGTAGGGCTGTTTCCGTGCTTCAGTTCTTCATGGTGGATGAAAACCTGAGTGTAGTTATTACAAGGCTTCAGTCCATTTGCTTGCAGTCCCCTGCATGCCATGTACCCCACCACGCAGGTGCCAGCCTGGCTACTACGGAGACCCTGTCCTGGGATCGGGCGACCACTGCCGCCCCTGCCCTTGCCCCGACGGCCCCGAGAGCGGACGCCAGTTTGCCAGTGGCTGTTACCAGGATCCGGTCACGCTGCAAGTCGTGTGTGTCTGTAGCGTGGGATACATAGGTACTTGGCGGGTGCGTGGGGTTGGGTTGAACGTCCCACTGGGAGGTCCACACGGGTTGCTGGGATATGACCACAGCACCAGTGTCAGTGTGGTGCTGCTGGAGGCTGGCAGCGCTTTGGAAGGTGCCAGGGCAGAGCAGCTTGTGCAGGCAATGCCAGCACCACCGTGAACTTCATCCCCAGCAGCATGGCGACGGGTGACCGGCGATTGGCAGAGGTGGACAGGACAGCAGTGGAACCGGGGGGACGAGCGTGCTGGCAGCTGGCCTGCAGCACCATGCCGTGGTGCCCCGGGCGGTACCATCCATGCTGTGCCAAGCTGCCGCGGTGTCACCAAGCGCTGCCTCTGTTGTTTTCAGCATGATCCAATTAACACCCCCGCCATTAATGGCCTTTATTGTCTTGCCGTTTACGGGGCTGCACGCTAGCAAGCCGCGATGGTAATTCCCACCGTTCCTGTTTGTTCAAACAGGCAGCAGATGTGATGAATGTGCGTCTGGCTTCTTTGGGAGCCCCGACGAGGTTGGGGGGGCCTGGCAGCCGTGCCCGTGC